GATAAATCCACCGCCATGGTAGTAGACCAAAACGGGGAGTTTTTGGTTGGAGACTGTCAGCTTTGGGAGGAATACTCTGGCTTTAACCTCCGGTGTAATGACTATAATGTCTTTGGAGGCTACGCCAGTGATTGGGTCTTCCGGCGACGGCGGGACAGTAGGTGTTTCCACTAATCTCTCGATGGTTCCATCTGTATAGACTATGAGATAAGGAGAGAGGTCGTGGAGCACTTCTTTAGTGGTTTTGGAAGGCATGGCAGTGTTCATGATACTGTGCTTGTTAGTTGTAAATGAGAAAATAGCAGATAGTTTTTTATCGATAGATGATATATATATATGAGAAGATTCGTTAGAGGTTGATTATCATCATTTCATTATTCAACTAAAAAGAAATTAAGGAAGTGTCCCCCGGGGAGAGCTCGGTGGTGCAAATGACATGAGTAAGGTAGTCTTAGCTGAGCTGGCAGCCGCAGTATGAAGATTCGATTACTGCCTCTTACAAGGTATGAAATTGGACTCTTTGTGGGCACCTGTATGACAGCTCTTGTACCCTAACCTATTGAGGCACATCCCACGATTTACCTCCTTCACAATGCTCTAGGGGCAAAGTAGGGCGGGGTTCAACCTTTTTAAGAAAGCAACGGATGACTTGAAAGTTACCCAACGATTCTTTTTATTTTTTATTTAACAACTTGGCTGGTGGATGGAATTTTTTGTCAATGGTGATAGAAATAAAATTATAATCTTTTCTTCCATAGAATATAAGAATAGTGTTATAAATAATTATACTAAGAAAAGAATTTGCGACGACTTTGAGCTACTTATTCGACGGTCTTAATCCGGCTCGGTAGAATATTTCATGGGTCAGCAGCTGAGCAACATGAAATGGACCAACTCTACTAACCAAGCTCAGTTCTTGCCTATAAACTAACTTCCTTCCAAGCCTAACCTTGTATAATTGTAATGCTGTAGGTATCGACTGAATAAGGCAGATGAACACTGCCGCACAACTAGTTTGAAAACCTGGGATGAAGTTGAGAACTCGCAAGTAAAAAAAACCTATGAATTTCAAATTTTCTGTTTTATCTAATGTTTGATTAATGTTTAATCTTTTGCCCCTCGTTGTCTGCTGTTTTGATCTAGCAAAGGCCCTTTTTTTCTGTGATTTTTCATTTATTTTACTGTAATTTGACCCAAATTATAGTGTGTATTGAAGTTTTGGTTGTGGATATTAGAATCCCACATTGCTTGGGAAAATATAAATAATCCACTTAATAAGGTGATGGCAATTCTCCCCTAATAAACCGATTTTATTAGGTGGAGTTAGACCCAATATTCCTAACAATGGAGGTCTTCAAGGGATCAAATTATGGACCGTGGAGATAAGTAGTCGCAATTTAGCTATCTGCCCGCTATCTTAGCGGAGCTACCACTGGCTTGAGCAGCATGTTGTCCAGTTAAGGCATGTTTCGCGTTTTAACACATTTTTTGGACTCCTCTTCATCTACAATTTGGATTTTAGGGCTTATATATATTCTCTACGACTTGTATTGAGGTCATAACATTCATACAACATCTCGAGAACTTTATATTTTATTTGAGAGTATTGTGATCTTGTTGTATACACATTCATTAGCGATTATAGTGAAATTCTTCTCATTTACCTATGATTTTTTCCATCTTGAATTTCTACATAAATTTTGATGTTCTTGTTTTTGCTTTATTTATTGGATTATTTTATTTGTACCGAAATGGATTATCGAAAATGTTACACTCTCTCACATGCGCGGGCCTCGCGTGAATAAAAAATTCACAAATGTGTGGTTCCCACACCTTATTGTGAGTGCAAGTAAAAGATTATGTTAAAAAAGTACGTACATGTAGTATTGTCCTTGTTTATTTTATTATTGTTATTATCTTGAGATGAATTTATAACATTTTTTGTCAGTTCAAATTTCTGCAATAGCTTGTGGGATAGCATCGTAGTGCCTCTTCTTGTCGGCATAGCGACTCAGGTGCCCCAGAAATGATTGTCCTCTAATCCTCTCCCCTAATGAAAGGGACAGGTCCCAAAAAATCTTGTCCTCAACTAGTGGAGAAGGCCACAAGACCTTGATTGTGAAAATACAATTTTTGCTATAACTGGCATTCCGCTTTACATTATACACGTGGCACACAATTTTATCATTAATTTTTTCGACACATAAAATAATCAACGATCGCAATTTTGTCACCGATTCAAATGTCATCCAAATAATGTATATTTCGTGAAAATTTGTTCTCTTTCACACACTTCTAATCATTGTGATGTATAATGGTCCTAGACTTGAAATGTCATAAAAAATTCTATATGTAATTTGGAGTATGGTTGCATGTTGATGTTGTTGTTCCATACTATTGCGTGCACGTAAGAAGTTTGACGATGAAATCAGACCAAACATAGTCATTTCCAGTCATTTTCCCGCACTGAAAGTTCGTCGGTTATGATCTTGGGGATTTTTTGGTTGCAACTTGCCTAGAACTAGAAGGACGTCAAGAATATGGACAGAATTAAGGTATTGATATTTTGATGTTTAGGTGTCGAAACCTGATTGAAGGCTTTAAAATAAAATTTAGCCCTTGTTTGCCAAAGATTAAAACAAAATTTTAGTAGATTTTGATAAATGATGATGAAATATGTGATTAAGATTAATTGTTGACTTCGAGTTAGAATGAAATCCAAATTTTAATTTCAATCAAACATGTTCATGTTAGATGTCGATTAAAAAATAATAAAATTCTAAATTAATTTTAATAACGCATTTTATTGAATTCATAACTTTATCAACTTTTCAATCACACATTATATGACTTTTATCGATGTCTACTTAAAATTTGATTTTTCAGTCGATTTGATCGTTAGTTGACCAAGAAAATGTATTTTGACCAATTTTTTTTAATATTTTAAAAGTACAAAATATTAAATTTGTATTTTTCATATTGAACAATTAAAATAATTAATTAAACAATTTATAAAAAAAAAAAAAAGAAATTGTAAAGAAAAGAGATACAAGTTTATCGGGACATGCTACATGTACATAAAAATTGGTACATAGGTACGTCCAAACCAAGAATTATTCAATTTAAGAAACACTTATTTTAGAAAACTATTTTGATGTGACATCGCACCGAAAATAGAAAAATTGATTTACCATTGTCTAACGCAAAGGGAAGAGTTACGTTAAACAATGATTGAAGGAGATATTACTGTTTAGATTGAACTCGTGGGTCATCGTGTTAGTTGCGATGTCACATGGAACAGTTGCCTTTTTGAAATCACCAGAGTCAAATACTCTATTTAACACATAGTTCTAACTTATTAATTATTCACCACAATGACTTTTTAACGTTAAAAAGACAAACATAACTTCATTTCAAAATTAAAAAAGCTGGATTTCTCCCCATGGATCCTCAAGGCTAGTCGGACCTACACCTTGGACCACCCGGACTCCAGACCATTCGGACCTTGTTAGCATATAACAAATTTACTGTGATTTCCTCACAAATTTGAATTTCTTCAACATAATAAAAGAATTTTTTGTTTGAATTTTTGAATATTAAAGCTAAAAGCACATTATCCATCAATATTATAAGTAAAAAAATTCGAATATAACCAAATAATATGAAGAAACCTTGTTTTGTTGTCAAAGGCCATTGTGTGAAAAGAGCTTCTATTCCGAATTACAACTTCTTCCTTTCTTTTTTAGACTTTCTAGCCAAGTCCACTAGAAAATAATTTGTGATCCTGCATAGAACGAAAATGACTATTGGGATAGCACATAAAAGTCTCTACCACAACTAATTGGATATTACCAAGACCTTAATATGTGAACTCAATTTGTTCCAGCCCCAGCAACTTTACCATTGAAGATTAACTATAGTGCACATAATCAATTAGAAAAATTAATAGAGCATTCAGAAAAAAATTCAGAAATAATTATATATATTCATCCAACAATCAAATAGGACTTTTGGGGATTCAATATAAGATAAATCATTCAAGTCAAAGGAGGCTCTTAGAGAAAAAAAATCATCGTTCTTCCAAAGAAAAAAAGCCAAAGAGGAAGCTTTTGACCATCAAATTCATAATTCTTTCAAACCTTTATAGAAGTTTTGTTACAAATTTCATACATCTATATCTTGAGTTGAAGAAGAAGAAGAAGAAGAATTGAATGAAATTGATCAATGAGCTGTCGGAGAATGCAAACACATTACAAATATTATGATGTTTGTGCCACAACCTAATTTGAAAAAAGCTTTAAAATAAAAACACAGTCCAAGCTCGATCTCCATTCTTTTAAAAATTATTATTTTTTTCTAAAATTCATTTTAACTACAGATTCTCCCAATAAAAAAAATATTTTGCACGTAAATACAAAATTTTACCTTCAAACATTTTTTTTTTCAGAAAAGCAATGTTTAACATCACCTCATGTTATAACTCAATTAAACATAAATCAGAAATTAACCAATTGTATTCCAAGTTCAAAAATCATAATTTGGGCAAAAACCATAACCCAATTATCAGTTTAGGCCCTGTTTGATTGCAATGTTTTCCATGGAAAATGTTACATTCGAGGAAAACGAATTTCACTTTGACCATTTGATTGCAACGTCAAAATGGAAACTGAATTCCAAGGTACAACCACTTTAAACTGTATTTTCTTTGTTTTCATAGAAAACGAATTTCTATGGGTTTGGTAGATTTTTATTTTCCAATTAATATGAAATTAAAATTCCTTTCTACATTTACTTATCGAACGACCTTTATATAAATTCATTTATATTCATATGCAGTCTGACAGTAAAAGGCTCAATTCATAAGCATTTTCGTCACCATGCTCGTGCTCCATAACCATTAACAATATTCTTATTGCAATTATCAATTCATAAGCATTTTCGTCACCATGCTCGTGCTCCATAACCATTAACAACATTCTTCTAATAAAATAATTTTACACTTGAATTTATAATATTTTTTTTACTATTTTTTAATCACACATTTTTAAAAATAAAAAATAACTTTCTACAAAATGTATTCTAAAAAGGGTCTTGCTACATGTACTCCAAAGGGTACATGGCCATAACCCCTCCCTCACATGGGGGTCGGATCCCACGCATTTATTGGATGTGGGACCTGACCTTATGTGAGGAAGGAGGTAGGGTCGGGTAAACCAAAGTGTATCCCAAATGGTACAAATAACATAATTCTTCTA